AAAATGACTACATGGCAGTATTATAAAGCAACTAGGGTGGTTTCTTTTTAAATAAAATATGTTGACCAGTGAAATATTATCCCCAAAGTACTAATTTTTAGTAACGGCAACACTTAGCAGTGCTTGCAAAAGCAAGGCACATCCAGCCCTGTGGAGGGGGCCTGCAAATACGGTGCTTAGGTGTGTGGGAGCAGCCAGAGTCCCAGGGGCCATGTCGGGGCAGCTGCTGCCCACAGCGGCCGGAGTCCTCAGGGATGGGCAGTGTCCCGGGCTGAACTCAGAGCCCTGCGTATGATAAGCCCGGTGTGCCCCTTGAGCAATGTCCCCAGCCCCTCTTTTTCTAAGAAAATTTAATATTCTAGATTATTAAATTTATTGACACATAAGACATAGCTGTCTTTCATGATCACGTGTACTTCCTGTTTTCTCTTATAATTTATCTTCATTTCTGGCTCTACTCATTAGGTTTTTTTTTTGTTTTTCTTTATAATACTTTTTTATTTTTATTTATGTAAATAAATAGTTTTTATGGAAGTAAAAATCACGATCACAACCATCCTGTTGTTCGTCGATTGCCTCGAGCAGGCCCCAGTAACATCTCCTTCATGCTAGCCCTGAGATTCTTTTTTTAAAGTGCCATATTCAAGGCTCTTTCAGGGTTAGGAGAATGAGATCCATCATTGTTACTGGTATTTGGCATATTGAATATGCCACGGGAAGTTTGCCAGACTCTGCTGTGTGGGCAGGATACTTTCGGTAGCCTGCCAGGTTCTCCAGAGTAAGAAGTAGATAATAAGGTGTCTTCCAGAAGCTGGGTTTTATAGTCTCTGAGTCTTGGCTGTTGATGGGATTACTTGGCATGGAGGGGCAGTTGGTGGGTGTAACGCCTAGCTACTGGAAGATGGGGGATCTGGGTGGAGGAGGCCCAGTCCCGATCCAAGCAGGCTTGGAGATCTCAGACCCGCATCCCGCACACCTGGGTTCCTCTGCATAAGATAACATTCTGTATCTTAGAAATGTTTTCTGAATCGAAGATTGATTCTTTTTTGTGGGGGGTCACACCTGGCAGTGCTCAGGGCTTCCTCCCTGCTCTGCACCCAGGGGTCACTCCTGGCAGTGCTCGGGGACCTCTATCTGATGCCGAGAATGGAACCAATTGGAACCAAGACAAGTGCCTCACCACTGTGCTGTCGCTCTGGCCCCCTCTTCAAGTATTTGTTTTAATTTGTTTTAATTATCCCATTGACCTTACGGTTATTTAGTTTCATGTTATTTAGTCTCCAGGTGTTTGAGGCTTTTCCAGTTTTCATTTGTGCTTGATTTCCGTTTGTAAGGTATATTGACCAGAAAAGGTGCTTGGTACCTTTGTCATTAATGTAGTTGCCGTCCGCTACTTTGGTTCATCAGAACTTCAGTTGAATGAATTGTTACGTTACATTCTAAAATAAAGTGGAAAAGCACATTCTGAGACACTGAGGATTGGAAAGTTGTTATTTTGGTTTTGTTTTTTTGCCATTAATATTAGATAAATGAATGGACCTGAGAAGTGCCTTAGAAATGCTGTCTAATCTAGCATCAGGCTGCAGCTTCAAACCTGGGGACCCCTGCTTGAACTGGGGCAATCCTCGTTGGTCTGCTGGGAAACCGTCCCCTCCAAGAGGGAACGCTTGGCTGGTGGCTCAGTGGTTTGAGCATGAGGTCATGAACTTGGTTCCCACATGCGCCAGGGTCTCCTCACACTCCCAATCTGCTCTTTGCGGGTCAGGAAATGACAGAAAGTGTTTTGCTCACAAACGCATGCACAAACCTGACACATCAATTTCAAAAAATAAGTTGAAGCTTATAAAGAATAAGCGTAGAGTGTTCATGTTCAAGGAGAGATTTTCAGTCTGAAGGGACCCAGTTCCTCATTCTTGTCTACAATTAATGAGCAGACGTAGACACTTGAAGTAATCATAATTGTTTTACTGAAAATTTATTTTCAATGTGGATTATACAGTTATATTTCTCAGTTAGACATGTCTAAACTTGTGGTATTATTAATATGACCTTGCTGCATGTAAATAGTATAATTTAAAAAATCATGTATCAGTCTTGAGCGAAAAGATGGAAACTTGCTCTTCTGAATTCTACCAACAGATTTTGTCCTACTGCAAAATAGATTTTGTTTCTTAAATATTTCCTAATCAAATATCTATCTCTCAAACACTTGTGGTCATGGATATTAGTGATTGTTCCACTGTCCTCTGGGACAGTAGGCATAAGTAGAAACCCACCAATATTTGTAGACTCCTGTTTCCTGGGCAGATGATTTCGACTTCCATGTTAAGATACTACCAGGAAATATATTTTATCTTTCACAAATCAATAGAAATCATACCTCATGTCCCAGAGGAGACATGTCAGAAGCAAGTCTTAATTATCTAGGAAATCTTTCCCTGTGCCCTGAAGAAATGAAGGTGTCTCTGATCAAATTATATGGGTAATCTGAGTTTATATATAGAATACATTCTATTCCCTTGTTATATACTGGAATCCAAATGGGTAGTGTCTTTTTGTATTTTTCTTAAATAAATCTTTGGTGGTCTTTCTGTCAAGGCCTCACTGACCTTCTCTACTCTAACAAGTCTACTTATTTTGAGTTTTTTTAGTTTAAGTGTTTAAAAGAACAGTCATTTAAACATGCATGTGTATAAAACAAAACAAGCCTTAAAGTGTTTCTCATAGTTTATTATATTCATATAAGCTATAGAATCAAAATTTGCAAATATTTAAAAAGGAGAGGCAATGATAAAATTTGAGGTATTAGTATTTTTATTTCATCAAATCTGTAGAGAAATCTAAATTAAGTCAGATTCTTCCTTTAAAATAAATTGTACTTTTCTTTTTTTTTTTCTTTTTGGGTCACACCTGGCAATGCACAGGGGTTACTCCTGGCTCTGCACTCAGGAATTACCCCTGGCGGTGCTCAGGGGACCATGTGGGATGCCGGGAATCGAACCCGAGTAGGCCGCATGCAAGGCAAACGCCCTACCCGCTGTGCTACTGCTCCAGCCCCAATAAATTGTACTTTTCAAAGGTAAAGCAGCCCGAAATGAGTTACTTTACTACCTACAATACAGGTCATATTCAAATTAAATTATTTACTTCAATATGCTGAAATGGTTATAAGCTCGGTTTTGCAGTAAGGAAAATAAAATCTTACTCTCTGTTTTCTATACTTATTAATTCTGAAAACTGAGTGACTCTTAGAGAAAGAAACAACTCCTTATTCATTATAAGGAAAATGAGAATAACTGAATACTTTACATATTTATATGGGTGTATATAAGCACATATATGCTTGCATTATATTATGTATATACAAACTCAAAACTTGAATTTAGCTATCAATTTCTAAACCATTTTTTCTCCAGAGACAAGATTTATCTGAGTTGATGAAGCCTTCTAATAGGCATGCATGCTGAAAGCAATAAGGAGATGCTTTTTATTCTTACATGAAAAATAAAATTTATATAAAAAACTAAAGTGTTTAAACTACTTACCATTGTTTTTATCTTGACAAGGAGATTCCGGCAACTATAATTACAATGAAGATCAATTTTTAATAAATTTCATATTTTAGATATTTAAATATGTATTTATATTTTAGAAATTACACATTAAGTCATTTGTTCTTTATTTCTACTGCAATTCTTCTATGTGCTTAAGTATAATAGTAAATGCTGTCATTTTTAATGTTATCACAGAGAACATAAAGAAGTGCTCAATGAGAATGGTTATTACTCCAAGAAGAATTATGCCTTTTAATCTTTAATTGTCCATTAAAACATTTTTGAGATTTTTCATCTAATATTATTATTTACTGTTGGGCTGGAGCGATAGCACAGCGGTAGGGCGTTTGCCTTGCACCCAGCCAACATGGACGACCCAAGTTCGATTCCTCCGCCCCTCTCGGAGAGCCCGGCAAGTTACCGAGAGTATCTCGCCCGCAAGGCAGAGCCTGGCAAGCTACCGAGAGTATTCGATATGCCAGACACAGTAACAACAAAGTCTCCAATGGTGACGTTACTGGGCCCGCTCGAGCAAATCGATGAACAATGGGAGGACCGTGACCGTGACCGTTACCAAAACTATAACAAACTATGTGTTTTTAAGCATCCATTAATATAAATTTTGCTGAAGAGTACTTTAAACAATAGATAAAACGTGATGTTGAGTTTCTTCACAAAAAAAAAAAAAACTTAACCAGTGATTTGTATGTTAAGAAAATACTGAATATCCTGAGCACTTGTTCTCACAAAGAATTCTTTACAGCTTGGGTCTACCTTTGCTGCTATGTTAATGATGGCTTTGACAAAATGACCCCAGGGAAAAAGGCAATTTCCTTCAGGTATTATCAGTGTCTGAAATATTCCTTACTGATTTCACAAGCTCTAATAGCATGAACAAGGTAGTTTGTCTGACTCTGATGAGACAAAATTTGCTGTAAAAAAATGCAAAATGCACATAGCTTTTCTTGAAGAAACCTCTGCAGTATTTTTTCCTTTATAAAAAATAATTTTAGATACTGCCTGAAGCATCAGAGTTTTTGCTCAAGGCAAGTTGAAATGCCACAAACCTATGTGTGTGTATATGTGTGTGTATGTATGTGTGCATATATATGTATATATACACACACACATAGGGCTGGAGTGATAGCACAGCGGTAGGGCATTTGCCATGTGTGCAGCCAGCCCAGCCAAGCCGGGTACAATTCCCTCGCCCCTCTCAGAGAGCCTGGCAAGCTACCGAGAGTATCTCGCCCACACAGCAGAGCCTGGCAAGCTCCCCGTGATGTATTCGATATGCCAAACACAGTACCAACGAATCTCAAAATGGAGACATTTCTGGGCCCACTGGAGCAAATCGATGAACAACGGGAGAACAGTGACAATGACAGCGACACACATATATAAATATTTGTACTTTAATAACTCCTTTGTCTCTCCATTTTTCAGCGAGCAGACATTGGGATCTCGGCACTGACCATCACCCCCGACCGGGAGAATGTGGTGGACTTCACCACCCGGTACATGGACTACTCGGTGGGCGTGCTCCTGCGCAGGGCTGAGAAGGCCGTGGACATGTTCGCCTGCCTGGCCCCATTCGACCTGTCCCTCTGGGCCTGTATCGCGGGCACCGTCCTTCTGGTGGGGCTGCTGGTCTACCTCCTCAACTGGCTCAACCCTCCACGGTTACAGATGGGCTCCATGACGTCCACTACCCTCTACAACTCCATGTGGTTTGTCTATGGATCCTTTGTCCAGCAAGGTAAGAGGAAAATAGCCATTTTTTTTAATTTTTAAGAAGCTGGTGTTTCAGATGCCATGGATTCAGTGAAAAAGCTTCAGTATCTGACATTAATAAACATCCTAATAACTTTTGACAATATTCAGAAAAAACTGACAGACTACTGGATAGGAAATTCACTAGATTTCCAACAAAAGTAACTAGTTAGCTTTTTTATTACTTTAATAATTTTATTTTTATCAAGTTGTTTGTGCTGGAGCGATAGCACAGTGTGTAGGGCACTTTCCTTGCACCTGACCGACCTGAGTTCGATTCCTCCGTCCCTCTCTGAGAGCCTGGTAAGCTACCAAGAGTATCCCTCCTGCACAGCAGAGCCTGACAAGCTACTGGAAAACTGGGGATCTGGAGGAGGAGGCCCAGCCCGTTCTGAGCGAGCTTAGAGATCTCAGTCAGGGGTCCCGGATACCTGGGTTTATCTGCAGGTTCCTTCATGGGTGAAGCTTTTCCAGGTCTGTGGAGAGTGGCCTTGAGCATGGCTGCGGTTGGGTTCTGGAGGTTTTTGGCTGCCAGGTTTCTGCTGGGCCAAAGAGGGAAACGCAACCCACCCCCTCTGAGTTGCCCTGGGGTAGAGAGCCTGGCGCGGGGTCGGGATGTTCTCACTCATTAGCTTTTGATACAAGCTCACCAGTGACTTCAAAATGTCAGAAATGAATGTCAGATGTAAGGGTCACATGAAACTCAGGACCTTTCCCACCTAGTTCTCTCATTCTCTGACACTCAGATAAATAGACGTTGATATGAAACTACCTGCAGAAAAAATCATATTTCATCACACACGTAAGAGACGTGGGAACTAGGGAGTGTGACGTGACTCAGTGATGGTGCGTGGTAGGGAGTCCAGAGTTGGGTTTCAGACACCAAACAAAAAGAAGAGAAAGTTTGGGAACTTGTTCTCTTTCCAAAGATATTATTTATATATTTATTTTGGCTTGAGGGCCATGCCTAGAAATGCTTAGGGATTACTCCTGGCTCTGCACTCAGGAATTACTCCACGTGGTACTTGGGTTCAACTTAGGGTGTCTTGGATCAATTTGGCTTGGCTATGTGCAAAGCAAATGCCCTACCCATTGTACTATTGTTCCAGCCCTTTATTTCTGTTTTTTTAAAGCTGCTTATATCTTATACAGAGAACTATTCATTGACATAAATGTCTGATTAATTTAAGATTCTGGTTTTAATTTCACTTCACTATATGATATTTACCCATTATTTGACTTCCAACTTTATTGTATTCTAAGGAAGGCCATTGCTATGTAACCTGATAGTGAATCTGCCAAACTTTTTAACTTGTCTAGTTAACTCTTATTTGAGAAAGCAGACGGTAGGACATAACACAATAGTTTGGAGAGTTACAGTTTATTGCGAAATTGCCTGTCTTGAAGAGAGGAAAGATATGCTACAATGGAAACATTTGACACTTCTGCTTTATTACTTTCGGGTCTCAATGGCATCTTATTTTCTCTTCACACTCGTTATTAAATTATGTGTTAAACTTGAGCCTTTCTGTTCTCATTTAGTTCTGAGATTTAACTGCATGCTTCATCTTCATTATCTCAATTAAAATGTGCCTCTAAACCTCCACAATTCTGGTCCTCCTCTAGCTCTTCTAATCAAGAGTTCTGAATAAGGTTATAGTCTCTGATGATCATTTTAGTCAATTATCACTAATACAAGAGACATTTGTTCTATACTCTTTATGTAGAATTTAACTAGGCATGGAGTGTACAGTTTTAAGTGAGAGGAATAGTGCCATAATCGAAGTGTATATCTATTGGAACATACATATGTAAATAGATAAGTAAGAGAGTAGAAAGTACTTGTGATAAGAAATAAACATGGACTATATTGAGATCAAACTGTTTAGGAGGTTCAGTATATCTGAATAAGGTAAAGATGAAATAAAAGTTTCACTAGGTCACAGGTCACGGCCCTCCCATTGTTCATCGATTTGCTCGAGCGGGCCCAGTAACGTCTCCATTGGAGACTTTGTTGTTACTGTGTCTGGCATATCGAATACGTCACGGGGAGCTTGCCAGGCTCTGCCGCGCGGACGAGATACTCTCGGTAGCTTGCCGGGCACTCCGAGAGGGGCGGAGGAATCGAACTCGGGTCGGCCATGTTGACTGTGTGCAAAGCAAACTCCCTATCCGCTGTGCTATCGCTCCAGCCCTTTACTAGCTAATCTCTTAATCACTTAACTTCCTGTTAGTCATCGATTTGCTCGAGCGGGCGCCAGTAACGTCTCCATTTGTCCCTGTCGCATGCTAGTGTAGCCCAATCGCATCTGTTCACTCCGGGAACATGAAGGGCCTCAAACCGATCGTTCATGATCTTGACGAAGAAGTCTGACCATCTGGTAGGTGGGCAGCCACGCAGTCTTTTGACATCCCGTGGAATCCAGTCGGTAACAGCTCTAGTCCAGCGGTCATCTTTAAATCTCATTACGTGACCAGCCCATCTGATTTTCGACACCTTGGCAAATGAGACAGCGTCCCTGATTCTTGATTGTCGACGGATGTCGGAACTCTGGATTCTTTCTCTCATTTGAGTGAAACGGGATATTCCAAGCATAACTCTTTCTATTCTTCTTTGGGAGACCTGAATAGTGTTCTCATCCTGTTTGCTTAGGGCCCAGGTCTCTGAGGCATAACAGTGGAATCAAAGAGATGTGCCCAGAGCCAGAGGTTCTTCATCCTCTTAGCTATTTCTTCGACGTTCTTGAAGGCGTTCCAAGCCGCTCTCTTCCTCCTGCGCAGCTTGGGTGCCAGGTCATTTGTCATGTCGACCTCTCGACCTAGGTACACAGAGCTGTTGCATTCAGAGATGGTCGTTCCGTTGAGAGCGAATGGGGCGTCAGGAACGAGGCTGTTTCTCATAAACATTTTCTTCGTAAGATTCAGCTGTAGTCCTACCTTTCCACACTCACGGCCAAAGTCGGCCAGCATTTGTGCCGCTTGGCTGATGTTTGGTGTTATTAAAACAATGTCATCAGCAAAGCGGAGGTGGTGTAGTTGCGGACCATCTATCTTCACTCCCATTCCTTCCCATTCCAGTCGTCGCATGATGTTCTCGAGGGTGGCACTGAAGAGTTTCGGTGAAATGGTATCACACTGCCGCACCCCTCTCTTGACATCAACGATCACTTCTTTGTAGAATGGTGAGATCCTGGTAGTGAATCCGCAATACAGCTCACGGAGGATCCTGATGTATTGGGCTTGAATGCCCTGATTGGCTAGGGCTTCAATGACCGCTTCCGTCTCAACAGAATCAAAGGCCTTCTTTAAATCAATGAATGTTATACAGAGCGGCATCTTGAACTCCCGAGAAACCTCAATGAGCTTGGTTATCGTGTGGATATGGCCGATGGTGCTGAATCCTTTGCGGAACCCGGTAACCCAGTGACTACAACTGGTCTCATTCACCTTTACTAGCTAAAGAGGGAAAAAAATAACTATATGAACAGTTTTTTAAATAAATTGTCAAAAGGAAATGTGGGTGGTTAATATAAGATTTCAGACCAAGAAGTGAGAATTTAAGTTAGACTATGTGGAATGGTGTGAAAAATCTTTGAGGGGAGCCAGGGTATGGCCCCAAGAACTCTTCCCCTAGTCGCTTGCATTCAGGGTGGGCCCGGGAGTCTCCCCCAGTAAAGGCAGCCCGGGCAATGGTCCAGATGGAGGACCAAATGAGGGCCAAGCCGGTTGATTGATCAGTTGTCATTCATTTCATCCTCCTCACACACCTTCCCGGTATTCTTCTATATTCTTCTCTCTCTGTCCCCCTTGCTAGCCTCTCCACGGTCCATCTTGGCCCCCTTCTCTCTCCTCTCCCCTGCCTCTTGCCTCTTCAACTCCCCAGTACTCTGGGTTGACCCTGCCTCCAGTCAGGTAGCAAAATCAACATAAAACCCTTCCTGAGGGCCCACCAGGTTCAAAGGTAACACCACCTAAAAGGTATCCTAAACTGCTCAAGGAAAAATACCTCCTAAGGTGTTTTTCTCCTTTCCTTAGTCCAATAATTGCATCAACCTCTTAATACTAGTTATTTTTGTTTGGATACAGTAAGAGATACACTGAGGTTTGTGGGCAGCTCTCCTGGGGACATCTTACCACAGATTCGGACTACAGCACTTAGGCCAGATTAATCTTTCCTAACCCTAGCAATGTCTGAATCTAGTTATTACGTTTGGATCATGGCAGCATTTGTCCATGACCAAGCTCTTAACTTATAGTTAAGCATTATGGCGCTTTGGACAGGCCCATCCCGATGACAGGGTAGCACATAGCTTACTGCTTGCCCTGGTTCCATCCAGTCCCTTGTTAGGACCCTGTTTGGGGGGGGGGGCGCTAGGAAGTAATGGCAGCTGAGGATTAGGTGAGAGAGCAGATGCCCAGGAGGAAAATATCACTGAGAGTCACATTACAAAAGCATAGCTTATACTGTCTTCTTGTGTCCATATAGAAAGGACATTGCTCTGAATAAACTATGCAAAGGACCTAGGGAAAAGAGAAAAACAATATTTAGAGCATAAAGAAAGAAGTTACAATAAACATAGAGGAATAGGAGCACTGTGATGGGAGCAACCCAATAAACCTAAACTACCTGAGGCTATGCAGGAAGCACAAAACAGTGTTATCCTACAGGATGGCAATGGATGGAGCCCAAAGATATATTCACAATCAAGAATTCAAGCTTAATTCTCAGGAAAATAACCAATTGTTGAAAGATTTAAACAGAGACAAGCACGTTCAGATATATACTGTAGAAAGATTCACTGTATCGCTGTATCACTGTCATCCTGTTCTTCATTGATTTACTTGAGCCGGTGCCAGTAACATCTCGATTTGTCCCAGTCCTGAGATTTTAGCAGCCTCTCTTACTCATTTTTCCCAAAGATTGGAGGCTCTTTCGGAGTCAGGGGAATGATATCTGTTATTGTTACTATTTTTGGCATGTCGGAT